GTGAAGTATTGTGTTGGTTGTGAGGATGTTGGTACGAATGTTGGGGGAGATTTATACTGAAATAGTGTAAAGAATGGTTTTGGGGGTGAGGTTGGAAGATTGTATGGTTGAAAAAGAGGATGAGAGGTATAGGCTTCGTAAGGGGTGTCATGTATGCCAGTGTTGAGTAGAATGAAGATGTTGTAGCTAGAGGCTGCTTGTTGTTGTTGTTGTTTTTGATGAAGTTGATTCTGAAGATCTGCAAGTTGAATATTTAAGCTCTTCATTTCTTTTTCTCTTTTAGTGAAGGCATAAGTGAATTCAGTGTTGGTTTCAGTCATATATCTGAGTTCTTGATCAAAAGTTATTATCCTTGATTGAATTTCAAGAATAATATTTAGGAGATTAACAAGGCTATGATCAAAGTGATGATTGACTTGGTCCAACTTGTGTTTAATTTTGTATAGGTATGCATTCTATTGGAGAGAATTCTCAATCTGTCAGTTTAAAACTACTTCAGCACAAGAAACACTTTTTTGGTTCCCATATTCATCTCTATCAGTGGGGTTTAGGATATTTGAAATGTGTTTATATTGGTTGGAATATGTTTGTATTGGTTGAAATGTGTTTGTATTGGTCTTTGTGAAACTCTTGAAAAAGAAGGAAATCTGAATTTGGGTAGCTTGGTTACATCATGGATATTTGAGGCAAAGGTTGGGTAGAATCTGGCTTTTATGTGGTTTGGTTTGGGCAAGTTTGGGGGGGGTTTGTTTTTTTTTTTTATAAACTTTCACCCTTGCAATAGTAATAAAAATGATATATACGAGCTTTTTATCACCCTATTTTCAGGCATTGGTCAACATCAATATGATCGAAATGAGCAGCTTCGTATTCCTTCAAGCTCACCTTCGGCGAATTCTACGGTCATTGATATCCAAAGTCCAACTTTAAACATGGGGCTAGGCAGGAAATTACGTCCGAGAATGAAGAAATGGGAACAGACAACCCTCTCAAATGAAGATTTGGAATCATTTCCAAATTTGGATGAGGAAGTGCTGTTATCGATTAGAGTTGCAGGTATATATTTTAAAACCAACTCTTGGTTTTTGCAGGAGGAAATATTGGATGAAACTGATGAGTATGTTGCCGTTCACAAGAAGTAAGCTTCTAATTTTAATTTCATTTGATCAACATTAACTTGTTATAATTAATTCCAGGATGTAATTTTCACACTCCTTTATCTCCCCTTTAGAATCACAATCAACATGCAACCTTCACGAAGATCGCCACTGAGATCTTCTGGAGCAGCAACAGCATCTCAACTTCACTGGAGAAGTCCTATGCCATCCCCAATTTCTTCGTGTCATGGAAGTTCACGTTCTTCAAAGACTCATTCTCCAGCACTTCGTTCACCAATTTCATCAAATGTCCAGTCACCACTCTCCAACCCAACTCTGTGTGCTTCCCCCGGGTAACCTACACCATCCCCACATCAGGTATAAAAATAATGTGGAACGTAATGAACTGCATCAAGTCAATTTCAATATTGTCAGGCTTCATACGTTCAATATTTTCTCATCAATGCATATATAGCTGATCCTTTTTTCTGTGAATTGATTCTAGCAGGTATCGAGAAAATCATATGATTCTTAGGTTTCAATGATAACGAGTTTCTGAAAATAAACATGAAAATGTTTATTTATAGATGGGAATTTCTCATTCCATTGAATAATATGTGGGTCCAAAAAATGTGTTTTGGGAACTACTTGATTTTGTTGAGATTTAAGTATCTTCATTATTGATGATGTCGTTTCTTCTTTTTTTAATGCACTTAATCCACTACCTATATATCCGCCGTACACTTGGCTTGCATTATTAAGATTATTAAATTAAATATACATTCAAGTAGAAAAATTGGATCTATTACATTGAGTAATTAATTAGTATTATCTTAATCAAAATATTTAATATATATTGAACTTGTCGGCAATAGTTCTCATCATACAAGGAGAATAATCCCATATAAAATTAAGAATATATAAAAACAATGAGGTTTAGGAATAAGCCTTTAGTATAATAGGAAATTTGTATTTTTATTACTGTCAACATCAGTTGGATTTTTTTATTCACATATAAGTTGATGAACTCATGAAAATCAAAATATTTTTTATTTTTCAAGATTTTTTTAATTTTCAATTTTTATCTATGTTAAAAATATTTTCTGATATTTTTTTATGTCATAAGTCACCCCAATTTTCATATAAACAAAAAAAAAAAAATCAGTTAATATTGACGGTAAGATAAGTCAACTTTTCAACTGAAATAAGAATTTATTTTTTTAAACAAAATAAGAATGTATTTTTTAATAACAAAAGAATGTATTTAAATATAAAATAAAATTTAAGAATTTATTTGACTATAATATAAATATATAATTTTTTTAAAAATAGTGATAAATTTTAAAATTTTTTATTATTTTATATTTTTTTTAATTGAGGAAGAGAAATTAAATTCAATTTTTTAAAGGAAGGTTGGTAGGTATCCATGTCATTAGATCAAATGTTTCCACGTCAAAATTAAATGACATCAATGATGTCAATAGATAAAGTATAAAACGAAAAAAGTATTCTTCCTTTTTATTAATTTTTATATTATATTTATATTTATATTTATATTTATGTTTAATAAATATCTTAAATTTCTTTTCATTTCTAAAAATATTTAATAGGTATAAAATAATTTTAAACTCATAACTTTAAAACAATAAAAATATAATTTATTTTTTAATTTTTATTTTATCATGTATACTTATATAATTTTTATAAATATGTATAATATATTTTTAAATAAAAATATATTAATTTTAATAAATTTAAAATAATAATAATATTTTTAATAAAAAATTTATTTGTTAAAAAATATATATATGAAATACATATATGAAAAAGTGTTATATTATTCTTTCAATTCTCATAGCCGATAAAAATTTTAAATTATATTTATCTCTTCTCATATTACAATATTCATTATCATCTTTCTTGAAATCAAAAGTTAAAACTTTTATTAAGCTCGGTTGATTTGGAAAAGATTGAGAATTTGACATCCCTTGATTTAACTTGTAAGTGCTTGTATCTTCAAAACTTAAAAGATGAAATTGCCACGGCGGAAGAAATTGACCGGAGGTTTCTGTCAATGTCAAACAGAACAAAACCTAACTAAATATTTTTCTGGAAATATCTTAATTAGATTCTAAAACCAAAATATCTCATAGCATACGAGAAACCACTGCCATTCATTGTTTCCGGATAAGGTAAAAATGGCCATAAGAACCTTAAGCATGCCTTCTTGAAAAAAAAAAAAAATCAATGAAGCAATGAAGACTCTTCTCGCTTTAGAAATACCGCAATTTTACCTTGAAATACTATGCTTAAACTAACATATGATAGATTCAATCTATATAAAATTATTAGTACTTCTTCTAATACTTAACCAGTTATATTGATTTCATAAATTTACCATTATGAATTCTCATAAAATAATAATCATTTATCTTGTTTATGATAATTTTTGAGAAAAAAGATTCGGATAATGATATAGATATTACTTACAATCTCTTATTAAAGAGTTAAAGCAATTATGAGAATGAGTTGAGACCTATGATGCATAAAAAAAAAACTTTAATATCCGTGTTGCATTATTATCGATTATCAATAATTTCATGATTAATATGTGCGAAAGATCAAAGTGCTTTTATTGTTTATGTTTATTTAAGATTTTTATGTTATTAAAGGATAAAAATATAATTTGGCATATTAGTGATGTTTTATGATATAAACGCCATCATATTAACGATATTTTTTTGATATAAACGTCACTAAATTAACAACGTTTTTTAAATATAAACATCGCTAAAATAGTAGTGTTTTATAAAAAATGCACTATTTTTTTCGACACGTGTATAGCTAACATTTTTAATGATAGTTTTTGCAAATGCAATCATTTAGTAACTTTTATAAGTACCGTTAAACGTTGAAAAAAATGTTATTAAAAACCTAAACCCCTATAATATAAAAAGAACTTTAAGCAAGTAAAATCGAGTGACTAGCAATTCTTGTATGTGCCATTGCAGATCAAATATGTGTAAATTTATAAAATTTTGTTTTTCTTTTCTTCATCAAATTTGAACCCCCAATTCTTCATTTTATCTACCGTTTTTTTTTTCTTTCTAACTAGATATAAAGCACACCACCTGATATAACATTTTCATACAACATACTTTTCCTTTGTGATTTTGACAATTGTCTTCAGTCTTATAAAGCGGTAAGCTCCTTAATTATCTACTTATTTTGCATAAAATTCCTTGGAAACTTCGATGGTTGTTTCTGCCGTAGCTTCTTCTGGCTGCAATGAAAGCAGCAAGACTAGCCAAAACGAGAAAAAAGCAGGAACAAATTTTCAGGACCTGCAGAATGCAATACAGGCAGCCTTCCTTAAATGGAAAGGGCAACAACACCAACAACATGAAGCCCTTATAAATTGCAAACATTCAAACATGGTCATTTATGGAATTGAAAAGGTCATTTCGCCATAACTTTTCCAATTCTTTATCAAAGGTTTTCAACTGCTCTTTTGTTTCCATTACGACATCAAGGGTGTTATATGTCAAGTGCCAGTTCATTTGCTGAAATCATCCATTTTAAACTAGGTTTTGTATTCTTCGTTTTTGCACTACTTGTTAGTCCACCTGCTCCCTTACACCTATTTTGCATTTAGAATAATAATTAGAGAGAGATCAAGTTGTCGTGGCGTCATAAGCCACGAATTTATGAACAAATTTTATGGCTTAATTGGTTAACTAATCTGACAATTAACTTTGTATAGCAGACTGATCGTACGTCATCTGTCTCTAATATAGTATTAATCATCTTCGCGTGGAGTACGCGTGTAATGTGGCAGTTGGCGGAGTTTTGGGGCTCATGACGCTGCAGTCGCTTTCATTTCTGCCTTTCTCATTGTATTTAAACCAATTTTGGGACATTCAACTGTGGTTAATTGCCGCTGTTTTAGTATATTTATGCTCTCCTAATGATCAGTTATAGTAATAGTCTTCTTCCCGTTAACCGACCCTGATCTATAAATCAAGGTATCCATTTAATACAATGGCAGCAGATGATGTGCCATGCTGTGAGTCTATGTTCTGGGTGTATCTAGTTATTTGTATGGTTCTTGTATCATTTGCTGGCATAATGTCTGGCCTTACCCTGGGGCTCATGTCCCTCAGTCTTGTTGATCTTGAGGTTGTCATCAAGGCAGGTCAACCTCGAGACAGGAAGAATGCAGGTTAAAGTTATTTATAATCCACTCTTTAATTAATTACTGAAATTAATATATCTCCATATTCATTGCCCAAGTCTCACAAATCACTCCTGACTTTTCTAACAAAAGAGATATGTAACTTTAAATGGCAGAGAAAATTCTACCTATCGTTAAGGATCAGCACCTACTCTTATGCACCCTCCTTATAGGCAATGCCTTGGCAATGGAGGTATATATTTTGTTTACGCCATCTACTCCTATACATTTCTCCTGTCTATCAAAACACTAATTAGTTCTGAATTCTATGTTCTTGAATAAGGCCCTTCCAATCTTCCTTGATTCCCTTCTATCCGAGTGGTGCGCTATATTGATATCAGTTACCCTCATACTGGCGTTTGGTGAGGTAAACCTTCCGTCTACAGCACAATATTAATGTGAGTTGGTATGTTGGTAGCTTTAAATAACATGCTAGAAATGTTTGTTCAGATCATTCCTCAAGCTGTATGTTCTCGCTATGGTCTGAGTGTTGGAGCAAAACTCTCAGTTTTAGTTCGGTTCATTGTAATAGTCCTCTTCCCTGTAGCTTACCCAATTAGTAAGGTAATTTTCAAACCCTTTGGAAACTGAATGATGAAGTTTTAATGAAAATAATAAATATTTGCTTCCCTGTTCTAGCAGCTGCTAGATTTGCTGCTAGGGGAAGGGCATTCTGCACTCCTTCGGCGAGCTGAGCTCAAGACACTGGTAGACATGCTTGGAAATGAGGTTAGTTTCCTTATATTAAAACTTCTAAATGATCACAAATTTTAATGTCCGAAAACATTGGTTTAGGCTACCAAAACTAGAACTAATTAATTGGTAATATTTCATGCTTATTTTAGGCAGGGAAAGGTGGAGAATTGACGCATGATGAAACAACCATTATCTCTGGAGCTCTAGATATGACACAAAAAATGGCCAAAGATGCTATGACTCCCCTATCTGACGTTTTTTCACTTGACATAAATTCTAAACTCAACGAGTATGATCTTCTATCTCTCTGCCCTGATATCCCATCTATTTTTCCCTCTTGTCAACCTATTTCTACGGTACAGGAAAACGATGGGGCTAATAATAAGCAATGGGCATAGTCGTGTACCTATCTACTCAGGGAGCCAAGCAAATATCATTGGCCTCGTACTGGTGAAAAATCTGATCATGTACCGTCCCGAAGATGAAACCCCTATTACGGATCTTTCTATTAGGAGCATTCCTAGGTTACTTTTTACTCGATCTTTTTCTGCTGCTTGCCGTACTATATATGGTTATTATGATTTCTCAACATTAAACTAGAAAAGCTAAAGAGATATTTGGTTTGCAGTATGTTTTTTCCTAATGTTCTTTAAGTGACAACTGATGGCATTACTATGAACTAATTCTCTTACCGTTAAATCTTTTACAGGGTTCATGATCGCTTACCTCTCTATGATATATTGAATCAATTTCAAGAAGGCCACAGCCACATGGCTGTTGTTGTTAAGTGCAAGAGTGATATAATAAATGAGACTGCAGAAACTGCAAAAACAAAATCTAGCATTCCCGATATAAAAATCCGCTCAAATTCTAAAAAGAGAAAGACAGAGGTGAAAGGTATAATTTCAGTGTTCATAGATCAGGAGAAACTTATTTCTTTTTTTTTTTTTATAAACTTTCACCCTTGCAATAGTAATAAAAATGATATATATGAGCTTATTATCACCCTATTTTCAGGCATTGGTCAGCATCAATATGATCGAAATGAGCAGCTTAGTATTCCTTCAAGCTCACCGTCTGCAAATTCTACGGTCATTGATATCCAAAGTCCAACTTTAAACATGGAGCTAGGCAGGAAATTACGTCCGAGAATTAAGAAATGGGAACAGACAACCCTCTCAAATGAAGATTTGGAATCATTTCCAAATTTAGATGAGGAAGTTCTTGGTATCATTACACTGGAGGATGTTATGGAGGAACTGCTGCAGGTTTTTCTTAGTATATGTTTCATCGCTAGCTGTTGTTATCGATTAGAGTTGCAGGAATATATTCTAAAACCAACTTTTGGCTTTTGCAGGAGGAAATATTGGATGAAACTGATGAGTATGTTGCCGTTCACAACACGTAAGCTCTAATTTTAATTTCATTTGATCACCATTAACTTGTTATAATTAATTCCAGGATGTAATTTTCACACTCCTTTATCTCCCCTTTAGAATCACCATCAACATGCAACCTTCACGAAGATCACCGTTAAGATCTCCCGGAGCAGCAACGGCATCTCAACTTCACTGGAGAAGTCCTGTGCCATCCCCAATTTCTTCATGTCATGGAAGTTCACTTTCTTCAAAGACTCATTCTCCAGCACTTTGTTCACCAATTTCATCAAACGTTCAGTCACCACTCTCCAACCCAACTGTGTGTGCTTCCCCTGGGAAACCTACACCATCCCCACATCAGGTATAAATATAATGTGGAACTTAATGAACTGCATCAAGTCAATTTCAATATTGTCAGGCTTCATATGTTCAACATTTTCTCATCAATGTATATATAGCTGATCCTTTTTTCTGTAAATTGATTCTAGCAGGTACCGAGAAAATCATGTGAGAGGCTGAAACATGGTTCGTAGGTTTCAATGATAACGAGTTTCTGAAAATAAACATGTAAATGTTTATTTATAGATGGGAATTTCTCATTCCATTGAATAATATGTGGGTCCATAAAACGTATTTTGGGAACTACTTTATTTTGTTGAGATTTAAGTATATCTTTATTATTGATGATGTCGTTTCTTCCTTTTTTAATGCACTTAACCTATTATCCGCCGTACATTTAGCTTGCATTATTAAGATTATTAAATTAAATATATATTCAAGAAAAAAAATAGATCTATCACATCAGTCGGATAATTGATTAGTATTATCTTAATCAAAATATTTAATATATATTGAACTTGTCGTCAACAATTCTCAATCATATACAGAGAAGGGTCCCATATAAAATTAAGAATATATAAAAACAATGAGTAGGAATGAGCCCTTGTTATAATAGGAAATTTTTACTTTTATTACTGTCAACATCAGTTGGATTTTTTTTATTTACATATAAGTTGATCAACAGATGAAAATTAAAATATTTTTATTTTTCAAGATTTTTTTAATTTTCAATTTTTAACTATGTTAAAAATATTTTTTGATATTTTTTTATATCATCAAGTCACGCCAATTTTCATATAAACAAAAAAAATCAGTTAATATTGATGGTAAGATAAGTCAACTTTTTAATTGAAATAATAATTTATTTTTTAAAATAAAATAAGAATGTATTTTTTAATAAAAAAAGAATGCATTTAAATATAAAATAAAATTTAAGAATTTATTTAAATATAATATAAATATATAAATTTTTTTAAAATAGTGATAAAGTTTAATTTTTTTTATTATTTTAACTGTTTTCTTTTTTATCGAGGAAGAGAAATTTAATTTAATTTTTTAAAACAAGGTTAGTAGGTATCCATGACATTAAATTGAATGTTCGATGCAAAGATTAAATGACATCAACTATGTCAATAGATAAAGTATGGAACGTAAAAAGTATTCTTTATTTTTATTAATTTTTATATTATATTTATTTTTATATTTATATTTAATGAATATTTTAAATTTATTTTTATTTCTAAAAAAATTCAATATGTATAAATAATTTTTAAACCCATAACTTAAAAAAAATAAAAATATAATTTCTTTTTAATTTTTAATTTTATCATGTATATTTATATAATTTTTTATAAATATGTATTAATATATTTTAAAAAATATATATATTAATTTTAATAAATTTAAAATAACAATTAATATTTTTTAATAAAAAGTTTATTTATTAAAAAATAAATATAAAATACATATATGAAAAAAGTACTATATTATTCTATCAATTTTCATAATCGATAAAAATTTAAAATAATATTTATCTTTTCCCATAATACAATATTCATTGTCATCTTTCTTGAAATCAAAAGTTAAAATTTTTATCAAGCTCAGTTGATTTGGAAAAGATTGAAAATTTGACATCCTTGATTTAACTTGTAAGTGCTTGTATCTTCAAAAATTAAAAGATGAAATTGCCACGGCAGAAGAAATTGACCAGGGGTTTCTGTCAATGTCAAATACAACAAAACCTAACTAAATATTTTTCTGGAAATATCTTAATTAGATTCTAAAACCAAAATATCTCATATCATACGAGAAACCACTGCCGTTCATTGTTTCCGGATAAGGTAAAAATGGCCATAAGAACCTTAAGCATGGCTTCTTGAACCAAAAAAAAAAAGGGGTCAATGAAGCAATGAAGACTCTTCTCGCTTTAGAAATACAGCAATTTTACCTTCCAAAGCCTTTTTTATGGGATCTAAGAACCCCAACAATCCTTCCCACAATCATAAAAAACCAGAGCCAAAACCAACCCTCATCAACATGGGAATTGCAGGCCAACGCCAAAGGATTTGCGAGCACACCACCAGCTACAGCGAAAGAAAACGCTGCCAACAAAAACTCAAATAAGAACAATAACAATGACGACGAGCAAATTCCCCAGGTAGTGTTTGAGAGGATGATAGCCAGAATTTTGGTCTCTGTGGGAGTTCCTTTGGCCACGGGTCTCGCGTTACTTCACTTATTTGGTATAGCGAAAGAGCAAAAGTTGTGGGATGTGCCACTATGGCTGCCATTCTTGACTACATTCATAACTTTTGGGGCATCAACGCTTGGGATTGCTTATGGGACTTTGTCTGCGAGTTGGGACCCGGAGAAGAAGGGTTCTTTTCTGGGATTGGAAGAAGCTCAACGCAATTGGGTTGAAATGTGGAAAGAGGAAAACGACGGGCAGTGGTGAAAGGTGATTGCCGCTGAGGCCAGCCGATTGGATCAACATCAGGCCATTTTCCCTTTAGTTTGAGTAGTAATTACGACTCTTTAATGGAACAAAAAAGAAACAGTCCTCTACTTGTTTTCATTGTCGAATAATAAAGAAATACTTCTACTATATATATATATATATATATATTTGGATAATTTTAATATTGAATGTTTCTTTTCTTTTTTCGACATAAGAAGTATAAATATAGGAGATATTGGAATTTTATATCTTAATCCTTTTAAGGATAATACTAACCCTTAATATAAGATTTGGGTTTAATGCTAATTGAAATTCGTCTAAGTACATTTTTTGAGAAGGTTTATTTTTGGAGCAAAAGGGAAGGGTTAACCTTCTCTATATTTGCCTTTTAAGGGCATTGCTCTCTCTTTATAGTTCATTACCCTGCGTTAACCAAATGGATTTGATAGTGGCTAATTTGAGAAATGATAGTGGCTAATTTGAGAAATGAAAAACGTAATTTAAATTTTAAACTCATAATTTTTTCAAAAAAAGACATTGTAATGATTATTTTTTAAAATTTGATAATCTCAAATTAAGAGTACATTAATTAAAACAAGTTTCATTCGCTAGGTTTTTCGTTGTTGTAGATTTTGTTTGACAAGACTAATATTTTGAAGTAAATTATATATCCTTATCCTTAAATTCGAATTCATTTCAATGTATGATGAAAAATCTTTCATTATATTATACATGTTGTTATATTCACTAAACCTTTAAAAGCTTCATAATAAAATGCAATTATGCAACAAAATGCCGTAAAAGTCCTCCCCATCATGCAATCAAAAGCATCCTTCAATTAAAATTTGGGTAATAGAATAATAACAGTTCTTTTTCTAGAGGCCGCACAGTAATCTTGGTCCCCTCATATATTTTGCTAATTTCCTTTCTATTAATTAATAGTACAAACCATTGGATTGACAATTGTTAAATTGATTTATTGACAAGTTCACATCATCTTATTTCCGACTTTGACCAGCTGCCTGCGACTATATGCGTCGACAAAGAATGAGTCAAGATAAAGATGAAAATGCGGATAGAGATAAAAGCTTCCATTTTCAATCTTTCATCACAAAACGTGTGGAATTTGCTTGCTTTTTTTGTTTACATTTTTGACGTCTGAACCAATCAACACACGACTGACGAAATCCGATAAATTGACAGTTGGACCCAAAAAATAAAAATAAATGGACAGTTCGAGAATAGTAGCACTATTTTAGTAGTGCTAGATATATTTGTTAATTAACGCCCTAATTTGATTGGTCTCGTGGATTTGCTAATTAAATAATGCAATTGGCTTCTTGATTTTTAAACAAAAAAAGGCACATTTGAATATTAATTTATTTACGTTGATTAAATTTTTAAAAGTTGAAAATAATTTTTTTTCATAAACCGATCTGATCAATATCCTACCGAGTGGGTAAATTAAAAAAAAAAAATTGCATTAGTTCAATTTCTTTTATATTCCGTGCTACCTAAGGAGAAAGTGATGAACTAAATTTCCTTGTCAAAATGGAAGTGTTTAATTTAGATTAATCACATCATAAAATTTCAAAAAAGAAGAATATTTCCCTAAAAACACACTGACAGGAATTTAGGATCCATTACTTAAAAAAAAAAAATTGTAGACCAAAATATTTGATAGATTCCAAATTAATCCACCGCAAAGTTCCAAGCTAATTTCAACCTACCATTGTGTACAAAAAAAAAAACAAAAAAAAAAAACACTAATCCAAAAATCCCATTCTCCTTTATTACTAGTACGTAAATTTATTTTTTATGTCTAAAGAAAAAACAATTAGCAGATTATGCAGCCAGCTGAATCTTCCTCAACAGTTTTAGCGTGACTGTAATAGTCAGGCACTGGAGGATAATTGTACGTGGACATTGGAGGGTGATACAACAACGGATAGGGGTAAAGTAGAGGTTCTTTTGTGGGATCTTTTGGGGGAGTTTTCGTGGCATCTCCTGGCTTCTTCGGCTCGTCTTTCTTGTCCTCTTCTTTCTTTTTCTCTGGCTCTTTTGCTGGTCCAACCGTAACTATATCCGTGTGACACAGTTTCTTTAGTTTCCTCACCAGTTTCACCGGATCGATGTCTCCTGTCACTGTCAATTTTTGGTCCTTGGCGTCAAAGGAAACTGAATCAACCCCTGTAAAATTAATAAGTTAGATTTTGCTAGCTTCAGGATCCACGTTTTTTTAATGGTTGTTTTAATAACGTTTTGGAAATTTCATTTAAATCCCCAAGTTTGTTAGAACTAAACAGAGTCAAAACAGAAAACTACAACTCAATACAATACCTGAAAAGCCAGAGGCTGTCTGCATGGCTTTTTGTCTGCATTTGTTGTCGTGTAAATCCAATTTCAGCACAATTTTCTGTCAAAAATAAAACCATTTACTGTTAATATTTAGATCAAAGTAAGGCTCCGAACTCTAGCTAAAACCACTACGTAGGCTCAGAAAACTAAATCAGAGCATCATGCTTTTATGTTTGAGTGTGCTGAAAAACAAAACAAAAGTAGAACAAGAGGCAAAGATGAAAATCTAACCTTCATTTCAAGCTTTGAGAATACTTGTGTAGCAAAATTGAGAATAGAAAGAAGGGAAAATGAGATTAGTAACAAAGGGGAAAAAGAGGAATACAATTGCAAGGAACTCTTTAACACCTTCGGCTTTGATGGTAAGCTGAAGCATCAGTTATATATAGTGAGCCAGGTCAACATAAGTCAAAAGATGAATTTGGTCTTTGCCTCTTGGTCAACAAATGCAATTTCACGTTCGTGGAAGATACGCTAGAAGTATATACTACAAGCAGCCTTTTGGAAAGAGAGAGCTCCTTTCGTTTGCTTCTTCAAAGAAAAGGAGGAGAAAACTAAAATCCACTTAAATTGTTTTTCGAGGAAATAACTTATAGGCCTTCCCGTTTACTCGGTCAAGTAGGAGACTTTACGCACTGAAGTGTTTCTCTTCCTTCTCTTATTGCTCCTGTCTTTTTCCCTCTTTTTTTTTTTTTTCTTTTTTTGGCTCTCTTTGCAATTTTCTGTCCTTTTGTTCCGAAACATAACCAAGCGTTGCAGAGGTAGGCTCGAGCCCCAGCCTTGAGGGTAGGGCAACCCTGCTAGAGGGTCCATGAACTTGGACTCCTTGATTCAGGCCTAGCTAGATGCCAGGTTTATGTATTTAGGCCACAGCGCACAGGTTTTTTTGATTAATTAATCATTATGATTTTGCCATTAAATTTTTTTTCTTTTTACTAAATAATTTCGTCATTCATTCAATTGAAACAAAAGGTTTTCGTGGTTTGTCATCTTAATTTCTTTCTCAATCATGTGTTGAAACAAAGGTTTCCGTGGTTTGTCATCTTTCTTTCTCAATTACATGTGAAAAGATCTGGACATCTGGTCCTTGGTCAAGTGGTAAATAGAAGAAATGTGTAAAACTTTTCCTGCTGGTTATAATTTACTTGGGCGAAAGCAGAATATTTATGAAGATTCTCACTTCTCAGTTCTCACCCTGTTGGCCAGGAGAACTGGTCCTGAATGATGGATCTTGAAACGTGACATTGCCAGGTTTTTTTGGGTGTTGTCTTCGCTGGTATTGTAAAAAAGGTGTTCTCACATGGGATTGAGATACGAGTCACGTGACAGCCGATTTCACCATTTTTTTTTCATGGAAGATGCTCTATTGTTTGATTCTAACAACATCTTGCATTGATACCCAATCTATGTCAGTTGAAGCCTGTGTTACATAGTTGTAATACTATTAATTAAGTTGTTGTATTATACTAGTATTAGTGTTTTCTTCCTTTTTTTTTGGGATAAGTAACATTTTCATTATATAAAATGTAGGAACCTGCTACAGTGTTACAAGAAGCAGCGAACCTGCTACAGTGTTAAACCTGCTAACAAGTTATAGATCAAACATATACCTACTTAGCTCCCATATTACACAATTCTTAATTTACATTATTAAAAGCAATACTTTTAAGTCCTACTAAGTGTAACCTGACCACCTCTTTTACCTGTCGCAGTATCATCTTCTCTGCTGTTTTCTCTGACTTGTAGATCTTCCTATTCTGTTTTGCCCATATCCAATATGTATATATATACTTCGATGCCAATCGAAGGATTACAGAAATTAGTGCCTTCCGTTTGAGCCTAGTTATAGCCAATGCATTTCATTGTCCCGTCCAACAACTTTTCTGTGCAGGTTCATTGGCACAATACTTGCCTCTAAACCTCCTTTGAAAAATTGCAAGTGAAAAACATATGATCCCTGGTTGCTTTCTCCTGCCTACATAGTACACAAACCTCATCTGTTTAGACCCCCCCCCCCCCCTTTGCCATCCTATCCTTTGTTGGAAGCCCGTTTTGCATGGCCATCCAAGCAATTATAGCATGTTTTGGGATGTGTGGCTTGCACCATACCAGCTTATGCCAATTGACTTTCATTTGCCTTGACCTTATTTCCTCCTATACACAGGCAGCTAAGTAAGTAGGCCTTTTGTTGTGCCATTCCACCCCATTCACTGTTTGTACCAAAAATCTGGATGAGTATTTCTCATATATAGTAGTTTTTTCATGCTCCAACTGCAATTTTGTTTTATGCATCTCCCATATCCATTTCCTTTTAAGCACATAGCTTTTTATCCATTTTATCCACAATGAACTAGATTGAGTTAAGATGAACCACAGAAACCTCAATATACAAGTTTTGTTCCATGATCTTATGTCTTTCAGCCCCAATCCCCCCTATGATTTAGGCTTACAAACTGTCTGCCAACTCATGCGAGCTCCTTTGGTTGCATTCGCTTGGCCTTTCTAAAAAACAGTGAGCATAACTTGTTGATTTATCTTATAACTTTCCTAGGAAAAACAAAGTTCTTGCACTAGTAGTTATTAATGCTAAATATGATAGATTGTAGTAGTTGCAGGCTGGTTGCTTAACTATGAATTCTTTCAGGTATTTTCTCAATTAAAGGAGTGCAATCAGTCATAGAAAGTCTACGTGTTATCAATTGCACACCAAGATATCTCAAAGGAAGAGTTCCCAACTTAAAGCTTGGTGTTTGTAGGATATTGTTAGGGGTATTTTTAGGTCCAAAGGGCATTTTGATCTTTTCTCTCGTTAGGGATTGTTACCAGACAACCAGGGGCATTTTGGACTTTTGGATTGGCCTAACATATTCAGTGCTATGTAAGCTTGGCCACGTCATTATTATGCCCCACAAACCCTTCACCTTCTGCTTATAAATAGAGACATCTAGGTACTATCATTTGATTGCCATACTACTCCCACATTTTTACTTTCTCTCCTTTTGACGTCCTTTATATAGATCTCTAACTTGAATGTTAGAGTGCAAACGTAGAGAATACCCATTGTTTTGTTTCTAACTACTCTTTTCTCTTTTCAGTGATTTTAAGATTTTACTCATGAGGTCAAAACTTGACACCAACATTTTGACACGCCAAGTAAAGGTTATTTATTCATTGAACTGAGCCAAAAACCATGCCACCTAGAAAGTGAGCCAATGAGGAAGGAAAGGCAGCGTTTCAATTGGAACAGAAACCCACAATAGCCAACATACGGATAGACCTACCCTACAATAGGTCGATCCGACCATGGAACAGTTCCAAGCTTTGACAAAGCAGATACAAGCCCTCAAACAAATGTTACAAACCATAACTCCATCTCAAACTTTAAAGGTACCTGATTTAGTCACCCTTAGTCAAAAAGTTATAGAAAGATAATTGAGCTACAAAAAAGTTAAGGCCTCTTCGACCTTAAGGGAAGAAGAACATGCTATCCGAGTTGTCCACTACTATCCTAGTCACAACTTAACTCATGCCACAACCTAAAAATCAAAACAATCCAACCTGAAACCTCAATCGAATAAAGACTTGAACACTATGATGCAAGCCATGGAAAAGAAATTGAAATGAAAGGCTATTATTTTTAAGGAAGAGCTAAAATTCTTAGAGACCTCACCCTTCATTGAAGAGATCGATAAAGCTATACTTTCAAAGGGATTTAAGATGCTGACCTTGAAAATTTACAATGATACATCTAATCTTTTTTATCATTTGAAACTTTACAAAACTACAATGATGATGTAGGGTGCAGATGAAGTACTGATATATAAAGGACTAGCCATAACTCTTAAAAGGGCAACTCAATCTTAGTATTACAACCTTAAGCCTAAGTCAATCACAACATTCAAAGAGCTCAGCCACTCTTTCCTTTTTCATTTTATCAACAGCAGAAGAACCAAGAAAACCACATTAAGCCTGATGTAAATTCATCAAGCCAGAAATGAGTCTTTGAAGGACTACATCATGCGTTTTAATGTAGAAGCACTACAAGTGAAGGATTTAGAGCAAACAGTCACTGTAATTGCCTTGACAAGTGGGCTCAGTGATAGAAAGTACCACTTTAAGTTGACTTTATCCCTAGAGCCACCAAAAATGTTGTTCGACATCCTACTTATGGCTAAGAAGTATATAAATGTAAAAGTTACAATGAAAAATAATTGAGGTAAGAGAGGTTTATCCTTAATTTTTGATCGAAAAAAGATAAATATTTTTATGATCATCTTTCACGATAGAGACGACATAAGGTCAAGAGTTTCAACAAAAAAAATGAACTATAACGCATTGAATACCTTCTGAAAAAGGATTTTAATGCAGATAAAGAAAAAATCAAAGCTTAGATGGCTGAAACCATTAAGATAGAATACAAAGAGAGATCCAATCAAAAGATGCACCTTTCATTGAGACATAGGCCATAATATAAAGAATTTTATTAACCTGAAAAATAAAATTGAAAATCTGATAAGAAGAGGCCAATTAAAAAGATTCATGGATCGATAAAGGCAATGCCAAATATAGTCAAAATATTAAAAGGGGGATCATAAAAAACCTATAAGAATAAGGAAGATAGGTAAAATGAAAATAGAAAAAGAGAAGGTCAAAGAGATGAATAAGGGGATGATGAAGGTCGAGTTATCAATAATTGATCAATTACCAAGGTAATCAATGTAATTATTGAGGAAAGCTTTACCTCAGCTAAGAGGAAGTTTGATCAAGACTTGATTATGGCCATTGGTTCTTCGATGAAAAAAGAGAAAAATTGTAAGGATGAGCTAATCTCTTTCAGCTCAAAAGATTTAAAAATAATCCAATACCCTCATGATGATGTCATAGTAATTAAAGCTATGATGTAAAACTGTGTGGTTAAAAAGATCTTGTTCGATAATGAAAGCTCGATTGACGTCCTGTACTACACTACCATGAAGAATATAAGAATTAAAGAAGACCAATGTAGCTAATCACCACCACTTTGATTGGATTCAGGAATGAGTAGGTGTTAGTTAAAGGGACCATCAAATTTCAGATCTCTCTAAGAACAGAATTAAGGACGGTTACCTCGATGGTAAAGTTTATGGTCATTGATGTTCCATTAGCATACAATATGATATTTGGCTGATCTAGTCAGTCTGTTATACGACTCATAGGCTTTGCTCCCCACTTAAAATTAAAATTTTCAACACCTCATGGGGTTAGAAAAATAAAGGGAGATCAGTCCATAGCACAATAATGCTATGTCACAAAAATGAAGGGAAAGACTAGGAAATAGATTGATAGCTCGGCTAAACTAAAGGGAATGGAAAAGAAAGCTACAGGGTTAGAGGTTAGAGAAGAAAAGAGGAAACAAAAAAATAAGGGTAAGTAGCAACAACAACAGAAATCGACCTGAAAGAAGCACACTTTTAAGTCACTCTAAACTTTTAAGCTCCGTACTTATACAAATCAATTTTTTGCAAT